GAGATGGTGGCGGGGTATATTATTATTAACATCATATCTATACACATAATAGAAGTGAAAATGTGTATGTGGCGGAGGTGCCCGCTTACACAGACAGGCTCTCACCTCCACAAACAGCTTTAACCCACAGTGCTGAGAACACACCAAAAGCCCTCCAAGGACATTTCAGGTTATAGCCGGCACCATGAACTTATCTCCCAACCCTGCCAATGTCCTTCCCAAACACCATACTGCAAACCGCCCAAGTGAAGGCTTTCATTTGGGGACAATTTCATCCTAGATATTTTGTTTTTCCTCCAGAATGGACATTCCAGGGTTCCGTTCTCTCTCCATGGATGTGGAATTTGCATGATCCCCCACCCACTGCCTCTCCTTTAACCCTTTCCTACCCTTTCCTATTGCAAACAGCAAACAGAAATTGATCAGCAACGAAACAAGAGGGAATGATTCACCATGATTTATAGAAGTCATAGTTAACCTACATCCAGCGAGCACTGTGAACCCAACCAACGAGCGCTATGAACCTAACCAACGATGCATCTGCACCAAATTTGCCATGGATAATGGAATTTGCAGTACCTTCACTCACTTCCAGAGACAACTGCGACCCCCCACACATGACAGACCAAGACCAAACTTAGCATACAGCTCCACCCATGACCCACTTTACATATTGATATGGTTTGGGGGAGGATGGACCACGGAGAATGGGATGTACAGTACCTTCACCCGATTCATTTCCCACAGGCCACTATACCCCCACGAATGAGAGGCCTGGACCAGACTTGGCACACAGACTCACCGTGACCAACAGAACATACTGAAGACTTTGGAGGAAATTGACTTTGATGTGGCTACCTGCATCCAGAGAAACTGTAACCCCCACTGACAATGTACTGGGTCCAAACTTGGCACAGAGAAGCCCCATGACCAACTGAACATACTGCAGGGATTTGTGAGAATGGATCTTGATTTTGGGAGTTGTAGTTCACTTGCATCCAGAGAAACATTGGCCCCCACCAACAATGGACCGGGACCACATTTGGCACAGAGAAACCCCATGACCAACTGAACATACTGCAGGGGTTTGGGGAAATGGACCTTGATTTTGAGAGTTGTGGTTCACCCTTATCCAGAAAGCATGAACCCAGCCGATGTCAGATCTTGACCAAAGTTTGCATACAGACCCAACATGGCCCACTGTGCATACAGGTGGGGTTTGAGGGTGATTGTCCCTGGCATCTGGGAGTTATAGCTCACCTGTATCAAGAGAGCACTGAATGTAGCCAGCATCTGATCTGGACCAAACCTGGCACACAGGCCCAACATGGCCAACTCTGAATACTGGTGGGGTTTTGGGTGAATGATCCACGATTTTGGGAACTGCAGTTCACGCACATCCTTATGTATTTTCTAATGGTAGCATTCATAAAAAAAACAACAGGAAAGACTGACTTTTTCTAAGAAATAGAGCTACAGATTACCAAACTGATGTTATTTAACACCCCAAGACAAACTATGCCTTTTTCAAATAACCCGGGCATAGTCAGGTCCCCAAATTAGTAGTAATAATAATAATAATTACAGGTGTCAGCAAACCACATTCAAATAAACTTTCATTTTCTCAGAACATGCAGGAGCGCTGTATCTGGTACTTCTTTTAAGGCATCAACTGGACAAATACACACACATATATAATAGACAACATTGTAGAAACTTCAACAAGCGAAATTTACCTTATCCAAATACTCCACTACAAAATTAAAATCGTATAGATCGATGTCATCATAAGCCATCTCAGTAAAACTACCACTTAAGCATTTTTATGCTTCAGCCATATAAAGTGTCCATAGGTCTTAGTATACTGGTTGCTGAAAAATTGCAATATATTTGTTTATTTACTTTATTTTTATCCTGCCTTCCTCTTGATAACAGGGACTTGTCATAAACCTTGTTTCAAAAAAAATTCTCTTTCTTTCCTCACTGAAGACAGCCCCAGCATTTTAAGATGCAATATAGTAGTCCGTGTCATTATGACTTTGCTGTCTTTCTCCCTTGCAGTTAATATCAACAATATAGACAAGCATGTTACTCCCTTTAAAAGCAAACACAACAATGTATGACAGCTGAAGAAAGCTGAAAAGCTTACCCAGGCCAACTTTCCTTCCATTTCCAGAAAATGAGTGATTCCTTAGAGTTACAAGATCAATGAGAAGAAGTGGGAATCCCCTTTTTGATCCCATGAGGCACACACCAGGGAGCAGACTCACAACCATCAAGCACAGCAACCGCATAATCTAACCGGACCCATATCCAAAAGCCAAAGAGAGCAAGCCAGGACACATTTGCAGCCCTCCTGCCTTAAAAGACAGTCACGTGCAGAGGCCAGTGATCCATATCCGTTCTTAGGAGAGGTGGAAAATATTTGTAAACCACAGCAAGGACAAGGGGTTTTTGTTGTTTTGTATGTTTTGAAGGTGGGGCTGGAAGAGGGGAGGACGCTCTCTCTTTCTCAACCAAGAAGGAAGGCACTAGGTTAACCAAACCGATGCTCCTACCAGGATCTCCCTTTGAAATGCTTGACTGGGGAAAGGAGGCAATATATGTGTACGTGTTTGTGTGTACATACAGAGACACACACACACAGAGGAAACTGAAAGTAAAGGCTTGCTGTTGGAAGTAGCATACACGCATATGTGTGCATACACCCACACACACACAAATTGAAACTAAAGGCCTGCTGAGGAAGGCACTATACATACATATGTGTGAGTGTATTATATGGCATATTTGAATATACATATACACACATACACAAAAGCAGAAGATAAAGTCTTGCTGGTGGAAGAAACATATGTGTGTACATATAAAATATGTGTATACACAAACAAAGCTAGAAGTAAGTACTTGTTAGGGGAGGCAATATATATACATTTGTGTGTGTATACTGAAAACTGAAAGACTGTGGGAGGCAAAGTAGATGAGTGATAAGGGAAGCAATGTACATGTATGCGTGTACATGTACACACAGACACAGAGACACACAACTGAAAGGAGAGGCTTTTTGAAGGAGGCAACATATATACTACATACATGTTTGTGTGTATAATTAAAATGTCTGTGGGTAAAAACACAAAATGAAAGGAAAAACTTGATGGGGAGACAATATATGTGTATATACTGGTATCTATCTATCTGTGTGGACACATACACAAAACTGAAAATAAAGACTTGATGGAGGAAGCAAGATTCATATGTTTGTGTATGTGTGTGCCTGTATGTATAAACAGACACACAAACGTCTACACAAAACGGAAAGTACATTAAATGCATGTATATTTGTCTGTGTCCAGAAACACAACTGAGGGCAGAAGATTCCTGAAGAAGGGAACGTATTAAGATGTGTGTGTGTGTGTGTGTGTGTGTGTGTGTGTATGTGTGTATGTATGTATGTATATGTATACGTGTGTGTATATATATCTCCACACATATCCATTCACCCACACAAAACTGAAAGGAAAGGCTTGTGGGGGAGACAACATATGTCTGTACATACATATACATATATATCTGTGTGGACACATATACAAAACTGAAAGTAAAGATTTGCTGGAGAAACACAAACATTCATGTTTTAGTATGTATGTGCCTGTATGCATATACAGGCACAAACACATCCACAAAAAACAGAAGGTACATTAAATACATGTATATTTGTATCCACATACACAACTTTCTGAGGGAAGTCATATATAATTATACATGTTTGTGTGTGTGTATGTGTATATATGTATATATGTGTATATCTTTTTCTATCTGTGTGGACACACATACATATACATCCACCCACACAAAACTAAAAGTAAAGGTTGTGTACGTGTTTGTGTGTACAATATATAATGATACATATGTGTGTGTGCCTCTATATGTATAAGCAGACATGCACACATCCACACAAAACAGAAAGCACATTAAATACATGTATGTCTGTTTCTTTCCACATACACAACGGAAAGCAGAAGTTCCCTGAAGGAGGCAATGTATCATGTATGTGTATGTATATGTGTATGTACACATATATACACACAGACACAGATATATATCTTTGTGTTTCTGTCCACATACACAAGGGAAAGCAGAAGCTCCCTGAAGGAGGCAGCATATCATGTATGTGTATGTGTGTGTGTGTGTGTGTATACACATATACACAGACACACATATATATATCTTTCCACATATATCTGTCTTTGCACACATATCTATCCACCCACACAAAACTGAAAGTAAAGGCTTGCGGGGGGGGGCTGCTGGGAAAGCGAGGCCAATTGACAGGCCAAAGGGAGAATCCGCTTCCCTTCCCAGCAGCTTCGTTTGCGACCCCCCCCCCCCCCCATTCACACCTCCCTTCCCTTCCCAGGATCAACAACAAAAGCCTAGCCATCACCGATATCAAAGGGGGGGGGGGGCTGAGAGAAAGAGAGAGAGAGAATGGAGGAGAGACTTTTCTGTCATTCGCACAGATCCCCCTGGCGCTCCCCCTTTCCTCTTGGGCGCAGCCACCCTCCAACCCCACCGAGAGGGGGCTGTTGCCAAAAGAGAAGGGGGCTTCCCAGCCTGCCAGGCCCGAAAAACAGCGCCTGGAGGGAGAATAATCTCCTAGGGTGGCTTTCCCTCCGTACAAACACACAGAGAGGGAGGGAGAGCTGTGTTGCACAATCGGGAGGGAGGCGATATGGTCTCGCGATTGGGACTCAGAGAGAGGGAGGGGGAGGGGGGCTTCCCAGGGACACACAGCTGCCTATTATATAAACCCACTCTGAGGAGAGACACACACAGAGAGAGAGAGAACATCCAAGCCCCTCTGGGACTTTTCTCGATGGGTTTTTTTTTAAGGAGGTGGAGGGGGGGATCAAGAGATCAATGCCGCCCCCTTCCTCAAGACGCCTGAGGATGAGGGATATTTGAGGGGGGGAGGGGGGTCCTGGAAAACGAAGCCTTACCTTGTTTATGTGTCAAAAGGGAAAGCGGCGTCACGTCTTCGCTCAGGCCGAAGGGAGGAGGAGGAGGAGGAGGAGGAGGAGGAAAACAGCCGGCAGCAGGAGAGAGAGAGAGAGAGAGAGAGAAGGAGGAGGATAGCGCGAGGGCGCAGAGAACAGGGAGGGAAGGCCCGCGCGGGGGGGGGGGGAGGAGGAGGAGGCTCCTTCACTCACTCTCTCGCTCACTCGCTGGCTGGCTGCCCTTCTCTCCTCCTTCCGCCCCTCCCTCCGCGGCTCCTCTCTCGCTTGTTCGTTGGCCCAAGGACCGCCCAGCCGCCGTTCCCTCTGCCCGCCCCCCTCCCTCCCTCCCTCCCTCCATGCGCGAGGGGAGCAGCGCGAGACCGACCGCCCTTCCCTCAGCCTGCCTTCCCTCCCTCCGCCTCCGCACACCCTCGCGCGCGCCTCCCTTCCCCCCTCCCCCCTGCCCTGCACGCCTGGAAGAAGCAGCAGCAATTCTGACTTATTATTAATGAAATGATATAGTTATTATTGTTGTTGTGCAGGTACAGCTGTACCAGGAGCTCCTATTTTGTTTGCTTTGCATTGAATGTTTGTTGTAGTCCTGGGTTTCAGGGACTCTGCAGATAGGTGGCTTCTTTTGGCTGCAATCATAGGGCAAGCCAGCTGTCAATTATAGTTAGGTTCCCTGGTATCAGCCGTTGCTTGAGTTGCTGGGTTTGAGCCAGCACCTCAACCAAATGAGAAACTCCCTCCTGGACACACAGAGGACTGGGCGACTTGGAAGGCGCTGAACAGACTGCACTCTGGCACCAGGAGATGCAGAGCCAACCTTGAGAAATGGGGCTGCAAAGTGGAATCCTTGATATGCGAGTATGGAGAAGAGCAAACCACTGACCACCTGCTGCAATGCAACCTGAGCCCTGCTACATGCACAATGGAGGACCTTCTTGCAACAACACCGGAAGCACTCCAAGTGGCCAGATACTGTTCAAAGGACATTTAACCAACTACCAAACTCACAAGTTTTGTATTTGTCTGTTTGTTTGCTTTGTTCTGTTAGAAATGTAATATAATGGACAGGTTGCTCTGACACGACAAATAAATAAGATTCCCTGGTCCCACCCCCTTTTTTGGGTTTTTGGAGGGAATAGGAGCTTTTTTGGGTCAGTCCACACAGAGAAGCTTTCCATGCAGGACATAATACCAAGAGTTCCTGTAGAAAGCTTCGTCTTCTACGGCTTGGCTGGGGAAATATACAGTCTACAGGACTTACTTGCTGGCTGTTTTTATAGTCCAAAATATAAAACACAAAGATAGCACGTAGCTACAGAATAAACAAAAAGTGATAGCAAAAATAACTTCCTAGTCAAAAGGGTCCAGTCCAATGGTCAAATGCAGAGTTCAAAAAACAAAGTCCAGGGATCAAGAGTCTATACCGTAGTCAAAAGCCAGGCCAAAGGTTCAAGGTTCCAGGGTTCCAAGATTACAGGAGACAGGTCAGGATACCAAAAATCCAACAGACCTGGGGGAAAACCAAGCAGCATCCACCACCAAAATATGACAATATGCCGCCCTTCTCACTCCAAAGGGGACTCAGAGTGGCTTACAGAGTATATATATACATACAATATATTATATTATTAGCATAGTACAATATCAGTATTAAATATTACTATATTGTACTATACTATTATATTGAGTTATATAATTATAATGTAATATTAGTATTGCATTACATTATAACATTATAAATATTATATGTTGTTGTTGTTCATTCATTCAGTCATTTCTGACTCTCCGTGACCTCATGGACCAGCCCACGCCAGAGCTCCCTGTCGGCTGTCACCACCCCCAGCTCCTTCAAGGTCAATCCAGTCACTTCAAGGATGCATCCATCCATCTTGCCCTTGGTCGGCCCCTCTTCCTTTTTCCTTCCATTTTCCCCAGCATCATTGTTTTCTCTGAGCTATTCTTTCTGCTCATGGTGTTGCCAAAGTACTTCATCTTGGCCTCTACTATCCTTCCCTTTAATGAGCCGTCTGGGTTTATTTCCTGAAGTATGGACTGGTAGCCTAGAGAAGACAATTATGCTGGGGAAAGTGGAAGGCAAAAGGAAGAGGGGCCGACCAAGGGCAAGATGGATGAATGGCATCCTTGAAGTGACTGGACTGACCTTGAAGGAGCTGGGGGTGGTGACGGCCGACAGGGAGCTCTGGCGTGGGCTGGTCCATGAGGTCACGAAGAGTCGGAGACGACTGAACGAATGAACAACAACATGGACTGGTTGGATCTTCTGGCGGTCCAAGGCACTCTCAGAACTTTCCTCCAACACCACAGTTCAAAAGCATCTATCTTCCTTCGCTCAGCCTTCCCTATGGTCCAGCTCTCACATCCGTAGGTAACTATGGGGAATACCATTGCTTTAACTATGTGGATCTTCGTTGCCAGTGTGATGTCTCTACTCTTCACTATTTTATTTAGATTGGACATTGCTCTTCTCCCAAGAAGTAAGTGTCTCCTGATTTCCTGGCTGCAGTCTGCGTCTGCAATAATCTTTGTACCTAGAAATACAAAATCTGTCACTGCCTCCATGTTTTCTCCCTCTATTTCCCACTTGTCAATCATTCTTGTTGCCATCATCTTGGGTTTTTTTATGTTTAGCTGCAACCCAGCTTTTGCGCTTTCTTCTTTCACCTTGATTGGAAGGCTCCTCAGCTCCTCCTCGCTTTCGGCCATCAGAGTGGTGTCATCTGCATATCTGAGGTTGTTAATGTTTCTTCCAGCAATTTTCACCCCAGCCTTGCATTCATCAAGCCCTGCACATTGCATGATGTGTTCTGCATACAAGTTGAATAGGTTGGGTGAGAGTATACAACCCTACCATACACCTTTCCCAGTCTTGAACCAGTCCGTTCTCCCATGGTCAGTTCTTACTGTTGCTACTTGGTCCTTGTACAGATTCCTCAGGAGAGAGACAAGGTGATTTGGTATGCCCATCCCACCAAGAACTTGCCACAGTTTATTATGATCCACACAGTCAAAGGCTTTAGAATAGTCAATGAAACAGAAATAGATATTTTTCTGAAACTCCCTGCCTTTCTCCATTATCCAATGGATATTGGCAATCTGGTCTCTCGTTCCTCTGCCTTTTCTAAACCCAGCTTGAACATCTGGCAACTCTCGCTCCATGTATTGCTGGAGTCTTCCTTGCAGGATCTTGAGCATTACCTTACTGGCATGAGAAAAAAGGGCTACTGTAATAAAGTTTGAGCAGTCTTTAGCATTTCTCTTTTTTGGTATGGGGATATAAGTTGATTTTTTCCAGTCTGATGGCCATTCCTGTGTTTTCCATATTTGCTGGCATATGGCATGCATCACCTTGGCAGCATCATCTTTCAAGATTTTAAACAGTTCAGCTGGGATCCCATCGTCTCTTTCTGCCTTGTTGTTAGCAATGCTTCTTAAGGCCCATTCAACCTCACTCCTCAGGATGTCTGGTTCTAATTCGCTTACCACACTGTCAAAACTATCCTCGATATTATTATCCTTCCTATACAGATCTTCTGTATCGTCTCACCACCTTCTCTTGATCTCTTCAGCTTCTGTTAGGTCCCTGCCATCTTTGTTTCTTATCATGCCAATTTTTGCCTGAAATTTACCTCCAATGTTTCTAATTTTCTGGAAGAGGTCTTTTGTCCTTCCTATTCTGTTGTCTTCTTCCACTTCCATGCATTGCTTGTTTAAGAATAGTTCCTTATCTCTTCTGGCTAACCTCTGGAATTGTGCATTTAATTGGGCATATCTCCCCTTATCACTGTTTACTTTTGCTTTCCTCCTTTCTTGGGCTACTTCCAGTGTCTTCCAGTATTATATGTATATACAATATATTATATTACATTACATTATATTACATTATTAGAATAGCACAGGAGACAAGGAGGAACTGTCCCCTGGCCCCCCGTCTCTTCACTCTGGCCCAGAGCAGCAATTAATGCTGTGGGGAGGGATCCCCAACTGATGACATATGCAAGATGGGACTGTCTCCTAGCCCACTCTCTCTTCACTCTGGCCCAGAGCGGCAGTTGGTACTGGGGGGAGGGGTATCAACATTACACTTATTGATATTATTATTGCTACTACTACTGCCCCCAAAGTCTCCATACCTAGAAAAAATTACCAAGTTCAGATAATATCGTAAATAATATTATTATTACTACTACTACTACTGTCCTCAAAGTCTCTAGACCTAGGAAAAAATAATACGTTAATATCATATAGTTAATGATATTATTATTATTACTCTATACCTAAGAAGAATAAACAAGTTCATATATTATGATATAGGTTGTTTTTCCTTCTTTTTTTTCGTGCCTGGAGCTACTTGAGAAATTGCAAGTCACTTCTGGTGTGAGAGAACTGGCCATCTGACATTATAGTTAATGATATTATTATTATTTGAAACACAACAAGGTGAGTCCACAGCAAACAAGATCACTCTGCTGGCTGTAGTTTTGGATCACACGTCAGACACTTCCCAAATGTCTAGGACTGTGTGATGTATTGGTGAACAATGCGTGCAGTTCCCAGTAAGGTGGCCTTCTGCAGCTGGCAGCTGGTAATTTTGTCAGCACCAATTGTGTTTAAGTGCAGGCCAAGATCTTTAGGCACTGCACCTAGTGTACTGATCACCACTGGGACCATCTTTACTGGCATGTGCCAGAGTCTTCGCAGTTCAATCTTTAAATCCTCATATTGTGTCCTGGAGGCATCCTGGAGGTTGTGCTGAATTCCACCCACAGGTGGTGGTATCGCTCTATCCTCTATGACAAAGAGTCCTTGATAGCAGACTTCCTCCTTCCTTTGATTGTCTGGTATTTCTCTGCTCACAGTTCACAGCTGTTTTCGAACTGCTTAGGCTTTGAACTGCCAACCTTTCAATTGGTAAGATGTTGGTAAGATGTTGTTGTTATTTATTTATATAGCACCCTTATTGTTATTCTGAGCCATTTCACATAGGAAGTAATGGTAGCAGGGGCTGTTTCAGAAACTATGCTCTTATAGTGCTATGATTCCACTTTATTATAATTATCATTACTATTTTGTTATCATTTATTTATATGGCACCCTCAGATGCATTATTGTTTCACTGAGCCATTTCAAACCACATTATACCACTACAATTCCGCTTT